ATCCATCCATCCATCCATCTATCTATCTATCTATCTATCTATCTATCTATCTATCTATCTATCTATCTATCATCTATCTAATTCTCTAGCTGTCTGTCTATATCTGTCCATCGTCTATGTCCCCCTCCCTCCTTCCCCCCTCTCTCAACATAATCATGCCTTACTTAATGTTCATATAGGTATTACCTTACATAAGGATTCTTTCAATTAAAGCCTTCATTTGTAATCTAGCATATACTTAGGTTGAGAAGAAATCAGGGTCACTAATGACTGTGTGGCATGTTGCAACATACATACCTAGATGCAGAAATGTCAACAGTCTCTGGGTTTCAGTGCAGAAGAAGTTTTCTAGCTAGTGCATGAAGATTTGTGTAACTAGCACAGAGAAAAGCAGGAAACACTGTCTCAAAGAGATAAGATTTATAATTTTTCACAAAGACTACCAGAGCTCTTTAAAGCAGAATGTTTTGCTCACAGCAGGATCAAACATTTAGATGTAAACGTTTTGATGCCTAGATATTCAATAATATGTCAGACTCCAGTATCCAATTCAGAGGGGATGTGAAATCTCCCACACAAAAACATTAATCAGTTGCCTACAATTGCAAAAAAGCAGATCCAGGTACATGCAATACATGCCCAGACATCTAGTTAGAGAAGCTTTTGCACTGGAACTGCATAGACACACTAGAGTCTTCATGGAGCTCTTCACTTGGTCAGTGGCCTTTGTAGAGGAGGTAAGCCCTCTTCCATTTTGATATTGGATTAAACCAATATCAAACCAATTGAACTAAACCAACTCCATCCACATTTGGAGAACAAGCCTGTTCACTTATTTCTTTTTACCCTGAAAATAGGCTTCCAGGTCCTACCACGAGGGTTTCAGCTGCAGGCAGCGAAATAAAAACCCGTGGCCCAGCAAGTGCTAACAATCGGCGCAGCCAGAGCTTTAACAACTATGATAAATCCAAGCCCACAAGCCCACCTTCCCTTCTGGCAAGTAGCAGTGAGAAAGGTAAGTGAACTGAATTTTTTGTTAATACATTGCACGTGCTGTTCTGAATAAAGCTGAATAAAAATCTGACCAGATTTTTTTTTAAAGTGTAAATAAATGACACAATTCAGCCAGAGTTAATCATTTTCAAGCATGTTTAAAATACAACTTAATTTGTCCTTTTGATGTGGTGCTGTGGAATTTCTGGAAAGTTTACATGTTCTCCCATTCTCATTTTTCTTGTTCAGTAAGTCTGTCATAAGAAAAGATGTGACACAACATTTACCAGATATGTATTGTTTAAGAACTGCATGATATATTTTTCACTTAGGTTAGTCTGTATGTATCAGATATGCTGAAGATATTGGAACTGTACAAAAACTTGGGAGTGCAGAGAATCCTACTTTATAATTTATATTAGGGGAAATTAGTGGTTGGACTTGCTGTATACTGGTCCTCGACTTATGACCACAGTGGAACCCAAAATTTCTGTTGCTAAGCAAGACATTTTGTTAACTGAGTTTTGCCCCATTTTACAACCTTTCTTGTTGCAATTGTCAAGTGAATCACTGAAGTTGTTAATTTACTAACAGAGTTGTGAAGTGAATCTGGCTTCCTTATTCATTTTGCTTGTCGGAAAGATGATCACATGACCCCAGGATACTATTACTGTCATAAATATGAGTTGGTTGCCAAGCATTTTGATCACATGACCATGGGAATGCTGCGACAGTTGTAAGTGTGAAAAACAGTCATAAGTCACTTTCAGTGCCATTGAAACTAGTCAATAAACGAACTGTTGCAAGGTGAGGACTATCTGTATGAAGAATAAAACACTGTATTGAAGAATGACATGAAATTGCTTGTCCCTGATTTCCAGCCTTTTCCATGGAATGGAATGGAAATACAGAGTTGGAAGGGACCTTGGGCAGAAAGAAGGATTACATAGGAGCGGTGCATTAAAATTGCTTTATGGATGACTGTTTTACTTTATGGGTTGCTGGAGTTGTGTTAATAACCACAGGTGTGTGTGTTCAAGTGAAACTCCACAATGCTTTTCTCATACTGAATGAAGCTGTTTCAGGAGTAGCTATGACCATAACAGTTATTGGTGTGTTTATTATCATTCTTTCTGGCTTTGGAGCAATTGCTTTATTCAGATCTAACAAAGCGATGATCAAATTGTTCACAGGTTTACTGGTGTTGCTCTTGATCACTGAAATCCTAGTTGTTGCCACTGCCTGCGTATGCAGACCATAGCTACACCAGACTATAGCCAAGGATTTCATGAGGATTCTGAACAAGTATGATAAGGAAGTGCAGATCACCAAGGGGGTGGATACTCTCCAGGCAGTGTTTCAATGCTGTTGTGTGGAGAACTATACTGACAGGTCTTCTAGTCCAACTCCCAGCTCAAGCAGGAAACCCTATACCATTTCAGGCAAATGTTTGTCTGATCTCTTCTTAAAAACTTCCATTGTTGGAGCATTCACAACTTCTAGCGGCAAGTTGTTCCACTGATTAATTGTTCTAACTGTCACTTAAAGGGTAACACCTGCTTTCTGGCCATTTTATGAGCTTCTCAATTGTAGCCTTCCATGATGCATTCTTTTCCTCTCAACATTATCAGAACCCCTTGAATTCAAAACAAAAGACTGTAACAACAATTGTGTGTTTTAGGAATCTGTTTGGGTGGGTATAGGTGCAGGTATTCAACAGCTGAATATATCTACGATGATAGGAAACTACCTTACACAAACATGGCGAAACAGCAGTTCTCAACCTTTTCTTCACCACGGACCTCCTTTAAATATCTTTTGTGGCCATGGACCCCCAAGACTTAACTCAGGATTTAAATCATAATATTTTTTCAAGCCTTCGTGCACCCCCTGTGATGAGATCATACCTCCCCCAGGTGTCCATGGACTACAGGTTGAGAACCCATGAGATAGAGCAGTGATTGCTAACCTTTTCCGGACTGAGTGCCCAAAGCACGCACGCATGCCCGAACCCCCAAAATGCAATGTGGAGTGGGCCCTGTGCATGTGCCCCACCTCCCACGCATCTGTGCCCCCCGCGCACACACCCACATGCGTGGCAGACACCCAACAACCAGTTGGCCAGCGGGAGGCATGCCCACATGTGCGGTGGAGCTGAACTGCGGCAATGGCTCGTGTGCCCACAGAGAGGGCGTTGTGTGCCACCTGTGGCACATGTGCCATAAATTCGCCGTCATGAGGATAGATCCTTGCTCTGTCTAATCTATCTTGTTGTAATTCTTCAGGATTTTAGCTAGAAAGTTTTCCAATCCAATCTGGACATTCCAAAACATGCATCTATGGTGTGTAGAGAAAAACTGTAGCTTCATTCACTTATTTCAGAAGTGTTTTGTCAACAGAAAAGGGCGCTTACTGAGAATAATTACTTGCATCTAAAATTAATGCCTACTTTCTATGATCAGATGAACAGAAAAGCCAACATTCCTTATGTTGGAGTTCTTAAGAGACCCATTAAAAGGATTAAAAAGGAATAATTCATATTAGTCCTGCTAATTCTAGATTTAGCTTTACATATGTGCTCTATTTTGTTACTAGAAATTAAAGTAAAAGTGAAGATTGAAATGCTATGCATTGCATATAAAGTTTTCTATTTGAAACCAATTGGCTGCTGTTCAACATAACTGAAGCAGATTCTTTGTTAGTCTATAACTTTTCTCACCGCTATCGATATAATTTTGTTTTGTTTTGTTTGGAAAGCGCTATCAGTCCAGGGAAACAGGAGCAGAAAATCGGTCCCTTTGAAGTAGCATATCCTTAATTAAGAGCAACAGCAAAAGTAAACTTCTCAAGTGCATCTCCTATGTTTTGGTAAAATAAATTAGCCTGTTAACTTCTACTCCTTATTTTCCATGGAGAGGATGAAGGGATTTTGAATGCCCATGATTTAAATTTAATTTCAAGGACCATTGAGTCTAGGGTTGATAGCTGTAAATGTGCTGTTGTGTTCTATTGTTACATAAAAATGAAGAACTCATTATGAATGCAGATTTTATATGCATTCTTAAAAGATGTTCTGTTGAATTAAGCTTACTGAAAATATCCTTTTATTTGAGTAAAATAAAATATGATTTAGTGTTTTAGACATTTGGCTATAATGCTAGTTTCAAAGGGTGTGTGTATATATATATATATATATATATATATATATATATATATATATATATATATATATATATATATAT